GTCCCGAACTCGAATAAAATAACAGCTCGGAGGTTCGGGCACGAAAGTAGTACTGAGCCTCTAAATAAAATTCGCTTAGGTTCCGTTTGAAATTTCTGAGAGTAATTTTTATTTAAAAAAAAAAAAAAAACCCCGAGAATTATATGGTTCTTATCTCTAAAATGATGGTATAATTATCAAATTTTATTTTTTGTACATAATTAATTAAATTTAGTTAATTAAAGTCGTGTACATAGATACAACATACATTTTAGTTGCGTTATATTTAAGTCAATTTGTTATTTAGAAAAAGAAAAAAAAATCTGAAAGATCTGTCGATTGAAGAATAATCTGGCTCGCTGGTTGGTAGAGCAAAATCAGGGTTGCCACAGAATTTAGAAGATGAAATTCCCTGACACATTTTGGTGAAATTCCCTGACAATAGACCGTATTCGATAACGGTTCGATGTATCGTTTGGTTCAAGACAATAGAACTTAACCTCAAACCAAACTTTAAGGATTTAAATTGGAAAAGCTGAAAATGAGAAATTTCCTGACAATTTCACTTTGCATTGGCATTTGTTACTCAAAAGAATAAAAAATCTGTTACAAAAGACCCGTTCTCTCAGATTTCTGAATTTACTTTTGAGGCTATGTTTATGTTTTGAACCAATCGATATCGATACAATCTCACCCATTTGATGTATCGAATACGATCTATTAAAGATGTGACAGATGATAAGGAAGGCATAATAGGAAATAGTTTTCAGGCAAAATTTGTTGATCGAAACCTCAAACCCATACAAGAAAGGGGTCTGTTGCACGCAAGAAATACGGCCGACTGTACAAACTTTCTGAGAGTATTTGCTCGAGAATCACATTGGACATATAAAAAGAAGTCTAAAAGCTGCTCCTCAGTGCGCAATCTCCGTAGTTTGTTGCACACTTTTTCAATTCACTGCGTATGCGGGCAGTTTTTCTTGGTGGCTGGATGTCAGGTTTGCCCGAAGCAAGACGTGATTGAATAAACAAACAATCTTGGAAACCGTTATGAACTCTCCTTGCGGGAGATTTCAAATAATTCAAAGCTTTTTTTTTTTTGTACAATAAAGAAAGAAGGAAACAAATGAAATCATACAATAGAAAAAGTTGGTTGATCGTTACTTTGGGTAGTTGTCGCGTGTACCGTAGTACCGCAACGATACCCTTCTTCCTTTTTCTTAAAATCCTAACATTTTCATTCACTTTCAATCTAGTCATTAGGGATGGCTGGATTTTGTCCACTTTTCATCTTTTCGTCTCTATCATCCAGCCATCGCCTATAAAATTAATGACTAGACATGCAACTGATAGCTCCACTGAGTACAGCCGGCCAATCGCGTACGAACTTGCTGTCTCGCCACTCGTGACGTCATCAAGTTTATAAAAGCGTGTGCTGTTCATTTCTCTTGGTCTTTTTCCATCCCTGACCCATGTGTACACAAGTTACGCCTTTTAGCCCTTCAGGCGTTTCTCTATAAGTGTGACTTGTAAATCTATTTTATAATGTAGTACAACTTTATTTCGGCCCAACAACTCTCTTAGGTATTCCATTTCTGTTCTCCCACGATCCTTGCTATTTCTAGTGCGCGTTATAAGGATTCTTAGACGTTTCAGTCCGTCTAAAACTCAACAAATCCTTTAAATGTGACAGTGGTTCTTTCTTACTCCTCTACCTGTGCAAACTTGGTCGGCGATGACTGAGAAAAACTGCCCGCAAACGCAGGAAACTTGAAAACGCGTGTTACAAACTACGCAGATTGCACGCTAAGAGCGGATTCCAGACTTTTTAGGTGTGCCCAACGTGATTTTCAAGCGAATTCACCCTGAAATGCGAATTCAGTTGCCATCCTGTTGTATCAGAGCTTACGAATAAATGTAGGCAAAAAAAGTCAAACAGGGTTGCCTAAGAAATTTAATTTATGAATTCTACATGGTGTTTGATTAAAAAATCGAGCTACAAGCCAAAAATATAAACAAGTAATATTTCAAACTACATGTAAGATCATCTACACGTAGTTTGAAAAATTACTTGATTATTTGTGGCTTACAGCTCGATTCATCAATCAAGCATCATGCACTGGAAAAAAAAAACACATTGGATCTAGAGTCCAGACTCTTGAGAACATTGACAAGAAAAAATACTCTTGATTCAATCAGATTGTTGCTTGAATCAAAACGAAATCCGCTTAAATTAAGAGGCTTGGTTCTTGATTTAAGCTAGATTCTGATAGAATCAAGAGTGCTTTTTCTTGTCGATGTTTTTAGGAGTCTGGACTCTAGATACAATGTGTTTCTTTTTTTTCCAGTGTGTTCTGTACAGCTTCGCCTGCCAAATTTGGCACTAAAATGTATTTATAAATTATTTTGGTTACTTTCTCTCACTTCCAGCTCCCGGAATTCCAGGCTTTTCCGAACAACTGTTTGAGTGATTCCTAAGTTTGGATCCAATCGTAGAATATTAGGATTTAAAGAGAGAAGTTACACATGAGGTATCAACCAAAAAGTCAAATAGGGAGTGTATTACGATCCTAAACTCTTTAAATAACGGATCAGGCACATTCTAAATATGAAAAACAATTTTGTTTTGAGGACCAGCAAGCCATACATACATACATTCCAGTCGCTTTACAGCGCGCTCGGGCGCTCTGCGACACCTAATCGCCATCCTTGCCTATCGATCCAGAGGTCATCTGGTAGATGGCATCTTGTGATTTCATCTTGAATGCCACCAATCCACGATTTTGCTGGGCGTCCCCTACGTCAGCAAGCCAAATTATCCTTAAATCAACACTCAACAATGAAACCATTTGAGAACATACTCATTAGCTCATCAGCTGATCACATTTTGACTTTGGTGGCAAAGGGCGGCGAGCGAACTCCGGATAAGTCCTGGTACCTAATTGTCCAAGTACTTCCTCATAATGCCTTCCTCTGAGGGTGCATGAAACTTAATTCCAAGATATTGGTGCACAGAATTGCAATGCTATATTCCTGCTTTGAAGGATGGCAGGTAATAAGTGCTTCAATAATTACGCTCCTCCCTTTGATGTGGACAAAGTTGCCATAAATTACGCCACATGTTACGGAAGACTTGACCTGAGCTAATCTGCTTTAATAAAGTGATATGTGAATTGGTGAAGTCAACTTTTTGAATGGTCCATACTGAGTAAGCCTGAGCTCACAGTAATGGGACTGTTCGTGGAATCCACACCAAATCAGTTTGCGCACTATCAGCCAGCGACAGAAGATCGAATGATGTCACTTTTGCATGTGAAGCAAAAAATTTGCATGTGAAGCAAATGCTTTTGCATGGATCTTCTGGTGTAAGCTAAAAGTGCGTAAACTTATTCGGCGTTTGCTATAAGAGTATCAGTGAGTGGTAATTGATTAGAACAGGGGAGAGAAAAGAATGAAATAAAGAAACATAACTTGAATGCATCAGTCACGCGTTGACCCATTGGTTGGCACATAAGTTTCTATGGAATGGAGCTATATTCTGATGTGACATTAGTCCATTCCTTTCTTTCCTTAGTTCTAACTGTCTCAGTAAATTTCATGCACCTACGTGGACAAGTGATCAGACATTTTCAGCACACCTGTGCCCCATCAGAGGTTAGCTTTCATCTTGACATGGGATGCTCTAACTTTCATCAAGAGTAATCACCAAGTACATCCAAAATTTGGTCAGTTCATTAACTTTAACATCATCTAGAACCCTACTTAGGTCTTCAGAGCTCAACACTTGGAAAAAATAAGTAGAACTAAAATTCGACTGGGGATCAGTTTGCAATTCAAGTTCCCGAACAACTATAGCATTCACAGGCAGCTAGATAGCTTCAGTCTATAGTATGAACGGTTCCCACTTAACTTAACTCTCCATGTTGCATAATTGACTGATGCTCCAATAGATTGTTAAATGCCTAAGTACAGTGTTCCTCTGTGATGGAAATAGGATTTACATCCTTGCACCAAGTTACAAGTGTTGCCGATAAACTGTGATGAAGCTGCTGTCCACAAAAACAACTTCTTCTCAATGAAATACCTGAGCGTCCACTCCAAGAGTTGCTGTCTTTGCTTATCTGAGCCAAGTAGGTACATAAAAATTTCAATGAAACAAGTGTAAGTCCAAACTTTGATGGCAATATCTCTTTGTTTTACAAAGATGAGGAGATGACCAACTTTCTGGAGCAGGCTACTTATTGAAATTAATAGAAAGCGCGATGGATGGGGATAAGAAGACAGGTAGGATGGAGTGATAAAATTGGTAGAAGCATGTAATTGCAACGGACCAAGGAGGTAGATGAAAGACTAACTAACGGCAGCCCATGAGAGACCCTTTAGTTAGTCCGTCATTTCTCCCTTCGCCTATGACAACCTCCCGTTACAACCAACAGGATCACTCCACTTTACAATCGTTGATCAATTTCATTAATCAGATGGCAGACCTGTGTCAGGTGAAACTAAAGACAGAACCACCACTCAGGTTCCAAAAGCATGCCATCCATTCCACCCGGCGCACACACAACAGAACGAGCAACTACTAACAAAGCTAACCAATCGTATGGCACCATTCCTCCTTGGACTTGTCTCATCTAAACAACAAACACAGGATTTCAGCTATCTGCCAGCAGATGAGAGTTCCCAAACTTCTCAAGAAGCTGCTACTTATCCTTACACTTAACCAACTCATTGAGGTTACTCATATAGGGTTTCACATCCTACTGAGAAAGCATTTTCATGTGAAAATTTAGGCTACATGTACACGCCTCACGAATGTGATCTGAGGTAAAACTACAGAAGAACCAAAACCCAAAACCTCTGGGGTGACTAATCTCAGTAGTCTCCTGCGAGGAGATAAGAAAGATCAAAGGATGACGATCCTCCATCACAGCATCTTGAGTTTTGACACATGAAAAGATAATTACACAGTGGGTAGAAAGCAGGCTGAAGATTACGTGTAAAGGAATTTCGGATCCTACCTTCAAAAATAATGATGCGGGAAATGGGTTGGTGAGGGGTTAATCCTTTGGCGGTTACTTATCACAGATCACTGGCACTTTTTTTAACGACGTGAGAAAAACTGAGAAGTGATGCGATAACTGAACTAAGGCTTTCTCGCTGCACATTCACGGTGGATACACACTCGATAAGTATTCACTCCAGTACGATTGAATCGGACTACTGATCACTGAAACGAATTCCTGATCAGTAATACGCTGGAGCTAACTAAAACTATGAAAATATCTCCGAACGCACTATTGAGGTAAAGGAATTTCAACCAACTAGGCGGGATAACATACCGCGGATCCCCACGAAGGTTGGTGAGAAACTGAATTTTTTTCCCGGATGACGTGAATAATGGAATTTGCGATCGCAGCGCTATCGTTTCGTCTTCGGTCCGCTGGAGTGCAGAGAGTGCAGCATCTCACAATCGCCGCTTGGCGGGCATTTTGAAAGCGGTTGAACGCGGTTTACTGAGCGACTGTGCGTCAAAAACAAACACAAAAAAATCGTTTGACGTGCATAATGAGACCATAGATATAGTGTCCTGTGCCAATTTTGAATGTAATCGAACAGATAGATTCTGAGATATCGCTGTAGACAAATTTGGGGGACGTCGGACGGACGGACACACATTTTTTCAAGTATGGTTATTTTTACTCCTGGGACCTTAAAACGTCTAGAAATGATGAAATTTTAACTTTTTTTTTTTTCTTGGAGGATGACAATACTTCCTCTCTACCCTAGGGGAGCGAGAAAGTAAAAAGTTATCTCACTGGGCCATTCTTTCAATATTTAACACGAGGATTATGTACTTCAACGACGAGGAAATCCGAGGGTCACGTAGAAATTCTCATTGATCCTGTCTCAAAAAAAAAAGGAAAATTGCAGAAAAGTTAGAAATAAAGTGTGTGAAATTGATTTTTTTCATTTATTTATTCATTTTTTGCTTATTTACGTAAACATGCAAGAGGTGAATCTAGAATCAGGAATCCTGAATCTAGAAAATTAAAACTTTCCCCTTTGTAAAATTTGAATGCTCTAAGTAAGTATGTAACGATTCGTATTCTTCCAGGATCGGTTTTAAGAGCTGGCACTACCCAAGTAGCATAGGGTTCTATTTTCTGTCTAGCACTAATTTAGAAATTGTCTATTTTCTAAACAGAAAAATAAAACAGAAAGGAAATGGAAAGAAAGTAGATGTAGGTATAAAATGGAAGTAAGTAAGAAAATTATTAAAAAACTTCTATTCTCTGTCTATGTTCCGGTAACTAAATACAAGGAAAACAGACAATTTTGTTGTCTAAATTCTGTGTTTTTTTCTACATATCGTCACCTTCCAGGCAAAGTATCACAAGCGCCATGCGACGTTTAAAAATTTCCGCCGCCATTATATTTTTTTACAGAGAAATTGTTCAACGAAGCTGTCCGAAAATTACACCGAATTTTCTTTGTGCTGCCGATAAAATTTAGTGAAATTTTCGAACAGATTCAACCAACAATTTCTCAGTAAAAAAATAAAATGACGGCGGAAATTTTTAAACGTCGCATGGCGCTTGTGATACTTTGCCTGGAAGGTGACGATATCTGTTTTCTGAATTTTGAATTTCTAAGAAGTAGATAAAGAAAATATCCAATTTTTCTCTATTTTCCATCAGGTTTATGGATATTTTTTCTTAAGGAAATAGCCCTATCAATTTCCTAAACGGAAAATAGTCCATTTTGTAGACAGGAAATAGACCTTTTTTCTTTGGTAAATAGTGACACTCACTTTAAATTATCTAATTTCCATATTAGCTACTTTTTCTTTATTTTCTAATTTTTTTTCATTAATTTTTTTGAAATATTTTCATTTTGCTACTAGGGTAGTGGAACTAAATTTCTTTTCTTTTTTTCGTTCAAATGCTGAAATGAAGGCGGTGACATTGCAATGAGGGTAATTTTTAACAAAACTAGTTTCAAAGTAAACTTGGCAAAAAAGTCGACCCAATATTCAGGATTGACAGTTTTCTGCTCTGTAAACTTTGTTGGAACTTCCTCACTCTGCAAAGCATTACACCAATACTCCCTCAATACTCTTGGAATTTCAGTCCATACAATACTTGAAAAATATGTTGAGGCAATATTATGAAAATATTGATAATGAAATAAAAATCAATATTTTCCAGTTATGATGCATCAACTTTGGAGGTCCTAATCAGTGAAAAACGGAGCTGGTGCTTGTTTTGCAGCTTGAATGTTTACTTATTTTCTTTATTCTTCTGCTTCTACTTTTTTCTGTCAAGTAATTAATATTGACTGGTAAAATCACTGTCCATATTGTCGTATTACTATTCCGATATCTAACAAAATTATTGTTAATATTAACAGGCAATATCATACCGACGCATTTTAAAAATATTCCATTCTCTCTCAGAGATAAAATTGTGTAAATTTTGATAGACCAATATTGCTTGGCAAATACCTATCACTCGCCGTCCCAGTTGAGTAGCAGAAGTCGCAATAAAATGCGCTTACGGTACATACACTTGGAAACTAGCCCTACTGTATCGGAATGTTGTGTATGTTGCCTATACACTAATTGAAGGGGCTGTTCTTATTGAAAGTTACGGCACGGCAAAACAGTAGAAATAAGTTGAAATTAGTTTGTAAATTGCCCAGATTTCTGTTACATGTGAAGCTCATTTTGTTGATCGTTTAAAAGCGACGGTCCTTGCACAACTGATAAAAATTACTGCAAGTCTCGGTGAAAATTCGGAATTTTATTGCACTGCATTATGAAGTGAATTCGATATTCGTTGCACTGTTCCCCTTGCGTAGTTCAGTACTGGAAAACTGCAGGGAATTTCTGCCTAAAAATGTCAACAATTTTTCTCCCGATTACCCGCAATAATCGTCCTTTTGGATAGAAACGGTCATATTCTTGTGAAAAATTGAAATTTGGATCCATTTTACAAATTCGGAATAGAGATATAAGATCCTTCCTGGAGAAAACGACGTTGTATCAAAACCTCACTTGCCCAAGTAGCACAGTGCAACGATAATATTGAAATTAAATTGCAATTTGATTTTAATACAGTTGTAGTTTTTTAACCGTTAAATTGTAATATTTTTACATGATTTAGTCGATTTATGCTGATTTTAAAAAGTCGCCAAAATGAGCTCCATGTGTCAGAAAGGTAGGCAATATACAATGCAATGAAAAATTGCAACTTAACTTATTTCAATTTCATTGCAATGAATGGGGGCCCCTTCAAATAGGAGCTAGGCAACATACACAACACTCGGTTGAATTGAATCAGTGAGAACGAAAACACACAGACTCGAAAAAATGAAAATAATCAAGACACACACAAAACTGCATATTAGGTGAGGAAGTTAGTATAAGAAAAAGATTTTTGGTGCCTAAAAGCAAGTACTTAAGGAAACTTTAAACGTCCAAGTTAATTGGAACAAATACGGTAACTTCACTGACCTTTATGAAAATAGTCTGTCTTTAGTGAAAAGTGAGCATTTTCGAGGTACCGAGTCGGTGTGTTTTCGTTCTCACTGATTCAATTGCTGTTATTGCTACTTATTGCAATCTATGCTACATAGGTGCAAGTAAAAGAGTTTTGAATACAACGTTCATGCATTACACTGTTTTCTTTCATGTAATTTTTTTTTTAATGTCTTCTTCTCCATGTTGTGCATGAGTTAGTTTTCGTACGTTTAGGTATTTGTGAGTGCGATGCAAAATTTTTTCCTCTTTGCAAAGAACGGTCACAATTGGATAACATCTTGAAATAAGGAGCTACTATTCCCGGCTCACTTTAGAAAGAACTTATACTCAATTTGCTTCCTTGAGCAAATGGGTGTTTTTATGGAAGAGCCTGAAATACCGGTACTTTCTTGAAAAATGTTGTCCAATTATTATGGGACTAGGTCTGAGTCTGAAAAAATTGTCACATGTTCTACGTGAATGTTTGCTGTATCAGAAAAAGTTTGTCGTCTTTTCAAAAGCTTAGGTACACTGAAAACGAATCACACAACGGGAGGCTCATAAATCAACCCCTGAACGAGATATCAGCAAGTATTTTCAACTTGATCAAATGAAGGTAAGTGTGCACAAAAGACGTCATTAGGGCGGTTTCACGATAACTGGAATAGTTCTGTCGCCGTAACAGACAACACATTTTTCGGTCATATTTTTAGTAGAAATGATAATCACTCAAATTTTTTTCGCATTGATTTTCAAAGGATTACATATTATACAGCTTTCTGATGATTTATTGCTCTACTTCTCAATCGATATTATGTAAATTCCGAAAATGTGATGTTCGTTACACGGTAAAAAGTCAGCGTAAAAGACAGCACATTTTCGGCCGTTTATAAATTGAAATTGAAAATTAGAGCAATAAATCTTTGTAAAGTGTTATAACACGTAACCCTGTGTAAATTAATGCAAAAAAATTCGAGCGATTATCATTACTACTAAAAATATGACCACAAAATGTGTTGTCTGTTACAGCAACAAAACTATTCCAGTTGACGTGAAATCACCCATTAGTATTCCTGCCATCAAAGAAATCTTGCTTGAGAACAGTTGAATTTTATTTAAAGTTGATTTTGAGACTTCCCTTGCGAAATTCCAGTGCCGAATCCTGGACTCTGAGAACACTGTTATTCCTCCATTTAAGTGCATGTTAAAAATTGATTCTTGGTAAGGCAGCTTACTTCACCTTAAATCAATATTTTTCACGGACTTAAATGGAGAAAAATCAGTGCTGCCGACTGACAAAATCACCATTATGTGATTCATATTCTTCATGAAGTTTTTGAGAAAAATGAATGCTGCGTGGTACTCAGTAGAGTGGCGTGCTTTGCGATATATCGATATTTTCCCATCAGAAGCTACGGTAAAGAATCGATTGTTAGGGTGTCCGTTGCAAACACTTGGTTTATCGATCCTTCTCTATAGGTTTAAAAGGCCGATCAATCAATGTATTGCAAAGTACGCCACGGCCACACCACTGGTGATACTTTAATTCATACCTTGACTAGAAGCTCATCCAGAAAAACTAAACTGAGCCATTAATTTAATAAAAAAAATTGATTTAAGTTTTTAGCATTCCGCTTTGTGCAGTATTGAAAAGCTAGTGTGAGATAGATTTGGCTGTAAAAAACTAAAAAATCATATGGAAATAAAAACTACTTTATTCCAAAAGGGTTCAATAATTTAACAATTTTCTTGTAAAGTGATAATAAGGACAATTTCATGGACAATTTCAAGGTGCGGTTCCGAATGCAAGAAGGAACCTCTAGGACTTGTGTC